AATTTTTCGTAATCTGAAAATTTCCGATGACAGTCAAACACTCTGAGGTGTTTAACATTAAATTTACAGAATTTTTTTAATCAAACAGTATGTAAATCATAAGATTAAAAAACTTGAATCTGATCAAACTGGTATGCAGATTTCAGTATGATACATAGAAAGCTTTAGCTAAGTATGATAAGATAACTAGTTTAAACATTAGTCATACATAAATTAAAGATACAGAACAGTGGTTCTCGAAATTTTTTGTTTCATGCATCCCTTTCATCTTTGCCCGCTGATCATTCCTACCACTTTCCGAAACTGGAAAAATACACATACATTTCTTTAGACGTAGATTATTTTTTATCAAGTCAGATTGACCGCATTTCCCTCTTGAAAATATGAACTATGATTAGGACCCCTAATATAGAACATAATATCTTACAATGAAATAAAACCATTTTAAAGCGGGGAGGACAAATGTTGGGGAAAAAATTTTTCTATGATTATTATTTCATCGCAAATTTCAGCTAAGTTGACACTTACACACGTATTTAATAAAAAGAAATATATTATTCAAGTCAAAGCTGCGCGGTTTTTTTTTTTTAGTCCAAAGGGATTTCAGTCCCGAAGAACTATTGCTTTCGTTTTGGCATTTTGCGTCGGACTCATAAAAAGTCGGGGTTTCAAACTGTTGCCACAAAATGTTAGAGTCCTGCATTATATTTGAAGAAAAGAAATTAAATAATGAAAAATCTGCATAAATGATTGTCTATTTCTCGCATTGTGATAAAAACAATGGGTACATAGAGCCATCAAATTTTGAATGACGAAATCCTACTACGAATATGGGCATCTGAAATCAAAAAAATTTGGAATTTGTTTTTTTATAGATTTTATATTTTGTAAAACTTTAACGAATTTTTTTGATTTACAAACTCAATGTTTTTAAAAGCGAGAAATGGCAACGTTATATAGAAAAAAAAAAATACTTTTATCTCCAGCTCGCGAGACTGTGTATATCGGAAAATTCTAAAGATATGCTTAATTTAACATTATTTTGCGATATTGCTCTTGAAACTGAATTTTATGGTTTTAAGTGCAAAGAACGTGATATTTAATAAATAAAGGTAACACTCAAAACGTTAAAAAAACGCCCCTTTGGACGTAATTTAAAATCTGAAAAATTTCAGATTTTTTTTTTTTTTTTTTTTATTTTTATTTTCCTGAGAGCAATATTTTTCTGGAGTGGCTTAAGTTTGTAATATACAGGACACGAATCCAATTACCAAAAGAGGTAAACACTTTGAAAAGAATATTAAAAATTATTGATTAAACTTAAAAAAGAAAATCTGAAAGGGTTCAGATTTTAAATTACGTCCAAAGGGGCGTTTTTTTAACATTTTGCGTGTTACATTTATCTATTAAATATCACGTTCTTCGCACTTAAACCATAAAATTCAGTTCAACAGCAATATCGTAAAATAATTTTTAAATGAGCATATATTTAGAATTTCCGGATACACAGTCTCGCGCGCTAGAATTTTTTTTTTAGTCCAAAGGGATTTGAATCCCGAAGGACTATTAGTTTCGTTTTGGCATTTTGCGTCGGACGGATAAATGTCGGTTCACTTTTCAAACTGTTGCCATAAAATGTTAGAGTCCTGCATTATATTTGAAGAAGAAATTAAATAATGAAAATCTGCGTAAAAATGTATGTATATTTCTCACATTGTCATAAAATAACGGTACGGTACATAGAGTCATCGAATTTTGAATAACGTAATCCTCCAACGAATATGAGCATGTGGAAGACCAAATTTGAAATTTGAAATTTGTTTTATGATCGATTTCCTATTTTTTAAAACTTTGACGAATTTTTGATTAACAAACTCAAGGATTTCAAAGCAAGCGAGCAATGGCAACGTTGTGCAGAAAAAACATTTTATCTCCAGCGTGTGTGAGTCTCTGTATCGGAAATTCTAAAGATAGGCTCGTTTTTTAAAACTATTTTGCGATATTGCTGTTGCAGTGGATCTTATGGTTTAAGTGCGAGGAACATGATATATTTAATAAAGAAAGGTTAACACACAAATTGTTAAAAAACGCCCCTTTGGACGTAATTTAAAATCTGAAACATTTCAGTTTTTTTTTTTTTTTTTTTTCCTCGTGCAACGTTGGCACTGCTCGCTTTGAAATCCTAGAGTTCATTAATCAAAAATTCCTTAAAGTTTTACAAAATATGAAATCTCTACATATAATAAAAGAAAGAGTCTGTGTGCTTTTGTTCGTACTGCACGTAAGCTCATAGACCCAGGGCTACGAAATTTTGTACATAGATGCATCTAGACAAGAGCCAGTGCACCTCGAATCAATTTTTGCAAAATGCGAATCAGATTTTTTTTTTTATGTTATCTTTTCGATTTTATCGCATCATTTTGAATAGTTTCATTCTTTTAGAAATGTTTTTTTGGCAACAGTTTTTCATTCATTTGTATACTGTACTGCTGTCTGTTGAAAATCAGCACTGTTGCCACTTGCAAAAATGAGAACGATAATTCTGTGCAGTTTTTAAATTTAATGTTTCTCTTGGATACTGGGCGTTTGTTGAGAGAAGGCAACGAAAAGTTGGTTAATTTATTTATTAGGATAATTAATATTAAAGGATATAGCTTATTTTATGGTAATTTTCTTATACGTAATACTTTTTTAATTTAATTTCTTTATTTTCTTTTCATACAGTGTTGCTATTGTTCGCTTCGAAATCGTTGAGTTTGTTAATCGAAAATTGGTTAACGTTTTACAAAATATTAAACAGATAACAAAACAAATTAATTTAAGATTCGTTATTTAAGGTGCCCATGGCTATAAAAAATAACCCGATTTCTTGTTTCTTTTTTAGAATGAGCTTATCTGTAGACAACAGGGTTTGAACGCGTAAAACAACACGGCGATTTTTAGCGTCATTTTTTTTAATCAGCACAAAAATATTTAATAAAATAGTGAAAAATTGATATCAAATAACAACATTTTATTCCTATTCAGTTTTACTTTACTTTATTAGTCCAAAGGGGCTTTGTCCCTTAAGGACTAATGCTTCCGTTTTGCGATTTTCCGTCAGAATCACTCTGAATGTCCATTTCACTTTTCAAATCGTTGCCACCAAATGATGTTAGAGTCCTGCATTATATTTGATAAAATTAAATAATGAAAAATCTGCATAAATGTATGTAAATGTTCATATGGAAGCCCAAATTTGAAATTTAGAATTTATTTCATTATCGATTTTATATTTTGTAAAACATTAACTAATTTTTTATTAACAAACTCGAGGATTTAAAAGCGAGCAATGGCAACACTCTACGGGGGGGGGGGGGGATTTTTGTCTCCAGTGCGCGGAACTGTGTATCGGAAATTCAAAATTGTTCAGTAAATCAAAAATTTTAAATTTTGGCAATGTGGTATTTTGGCAATATAATTGAAAATTTTGGCAATTTTGATTTGGCGGTTTTTTTTATCAAAATTTTGTCCAAATCAAATCAAAATTTTGATTTGGCTCTAATCAGAAAAGCTGTTAATTTCGTTTTAGGATTTTGCAGCGTTTCACTTTTCAAATTTTTGCCACCAGATATTATTGCCCTGTACTATACTTAAAAAAATTAAAGAATGAAAAACCTGCATTAATGTATGTATCATTCTCGCATTGTGATAAAACAACGCTACCTAGAGCCATCTTATTTTGAGTAACGTATGTCTCCACCCGAAAATGAGCATCTGGAAGCCGAAATTTGGAATTTGTTTTATTATCGATTTCATATTTCGTAAAGCATTTATGAGTTTTTAATTAAGAAACTCAACGATTTCAAGGCGAGCAATGGCAACACTGCACAGGAAAAAAAAATATCTCCAGCGCGCGAGGCTGTGTATCGGAAATTCTGAAGATAGGCTCATTTTAAAACTATTTTGCGACATTGCTGTTGAACTGAATTTTATGGTTTAAGTGCAAAGAGCAGGATATTTAATAAATAAAGGTAACACACAAAACGTTAAAAAAACGCCTCTTTGGACGTAATTTAATTTAATGTAATTTGGATGTAATTTTTATTTCTTTATTTATTTTGATTATTTTATTTATTATTATTTGATTTATTAATTTTAATTAATTAATTAATTAATTAATTAATTTTATTTATTTATTAAGTTAGTCCAAAGGGATTTGAATCCCGAAGGAACTATTACTTTCGTTTTGACATTTTGCGTCGGATATAAATGTCGGTTCACTTTTCAAACTGTTGCCACAAAATTTAGAGTCCCTGCATATTATTTGAAGAAATTAAATAATGAAAAATCTGCAAATGTATGTATATTTCTCGTAATTGTATAAAAAAACGGTACATAGAGTCATCGAATTTGAATAACGTAATCCTCCAACGAACATGAGCATGTGGAAGGACCCAATTGAAATTTGAATTTGTTTATGATGGATTTCCTATTTTGATAAAACTTGACGAATTTTTGATTAACAAACTCAAGGATTTCAAAGCGAGCAGCAATGGCAACGTTTGTGCAGAAAAAACATTTTATCTCCAGCGCGTGAGTCTCTGTATCGGGAATTCTAAAGATATGCTCGTTTTAAAACTATTTTGCGACATTGCTGTTGAACTGAATTTTATGGTTTAAGTGCAAAGAGCAGGATATTTAATAAATAAAGGTAACACACAAAACGTTAAAAAAAAGGCTCTTTGGATGTAATTTTAAAATCTGAAGGCTTTCAGATTTTATTTTCTTTATTTATTTATTTTGATTATTTTATTTATTTATTAAATTTGATTTATTAATTTTAATTAATTAATTAATTATTAATTTTATTTATTTAATGGTTTATTTGTTAATTTATTTTATTTATTTATTATCTTATTAATTGATTTATTAATTACGATCTATTCGTACAACTACCCAAGCTTAATTAATGTAATTTATGAGTAGCAAAAGTACAGCGGAAATGGAAATTTACTTACCTCTTTGTGGAAAAGATTTTTTCGAGTTATCTTCGGAATCTTCCTACCATCGCTGGATAACAAAAATAACCCGATCTCCAGGAAAAGAATGATAACTGCGTGCTTTGACATCTCTTTCCGAAATAATTTTGCTACCGTCTTTTTCTTCTTGCCCAGGTGACTCTTTTGTAAGGAATTCTTGAGACTCTATAATGCTAACAAGGACCGCAGGGAGCAGCAACACTCTGCTGCTGACCAATCACAGACAGCACAGATCCCCCAGAAAGAAAAATTTACTGCTCATATAAATGTTACTGCCTTTGTGTAATTTATTACTCAAAGTTACTTTTCTTTAGCAGCCAAATGAAAAAAAAAAAAAAAAAAATCTGAAATGTTTCAGATTTTAAATTACCTCCAAAGGGGCGCTTTTTTTTTTTTTTTTAACATTTTTGTGTGTTACCTTTCTTATTAAATATCATGTTCCTCGCACTTAAACCATAAGATCAGTGCAACAGCAATATCGCAAAATAGTTTTAAAAACGAGCATATCTTTAGGAATTCCGATAGAGAGACTCACGCGTGGAGATAAAAATGTTTTTCTGCACAACGTTGCCATGCTCGCTTTGAAATCCTTGAGTTTGTTAATCAAAAATTCGTCAAAGTTTTAAAAAATAGGAAATCGATCATAAAACAAATTTCAAATTCAAATGGGTCTTCCACATGCTCATATTCGTGGAGGATTACGTTATTCAAAAATTCGATGACTCTAGTACCGTTATTTTATGACAATGTGAGAAATATACATACATTTACGCAGATTTTTCATTATTTTAATTTCTTCAAATATAATGCAGGATCTAACATTTTATGGCAACAGTTTGAAAAGTGAACCGACATTTATCCGTCCGACGCGAAATGCCAAAACGAAACTAATAGTCCTTCGGGATTCAAATCCCTTTGGACTAAAAAACATACAGAGCGAAAAGTTATGTTACTTAAATTATGGATTCTGTTATTGTTTTATTAAGCAAGTCGTATTATTCTATATTGTATGTATTAGGTTGGTTTTTCAAAACTGCAAGAAGTTTTGGCATTTCTGCAAGAAAGAAATGAGCTTTTAAAAAAATCTCATGTGCGGACCACAGAACTTCCTTCTAGGGTCTACTAATTCTTTGCTGCACACTTTATTTGAACTTATTTGCTGGAATTGTTCTAATTTATACACCTTAAAACCCATAAGATGTTCGAATAGGTGACTGTTGCAAGAATTGGGATAACTTATTTATTTTAAAAGCAATTATTACCAACTTTTTACAGCTGACTACAAAATATAACTGCTTTCTGAAATAGTCATCAGAAAGTTTGTGTTGCCACAAATATTTTTATAATTTAATCCGCTTTGTGACAACATTTTTCGTCATGTTTCCAACTTGTGTTGCCACAAATACTTTTATAATTTAATCCGCTTTGTGACAGCATTTTTCGTCATGTTTCCAGCTTGCGCGCACAGTTTAAAACATTCTGTTTCCAAAATTTAATTCCCTATTTAATGTATAGCTTTTATAACATTTGGAAAGTACTGTAAACCTAAAATTCTAAGAATTTCATGTTAAATTTTTATTTTATTTGGAGTTGAGTTTATAAAATGTGTTTTATTAAAAAAATTTTAATGTTTTCGCCCATAAAATTTTTCAATATTAAAATATTCATCAGATTGTTGGTTCAGTTAGAAAATAGTGCCCATATAAAAAATTCCATCCAATTTCAAGTATGTACCATTAGCCATTTTTAAAATATCATGCGCGCAAGGTGGAAACACGGCGAAATATTTTGTCACAAAGCGGATTAAATGACAAAAATATTTGTGGCAACACAAACTTTCTGGTTACTAGTTTCCAAAGCAGTTATATTATGTAGTCAGCTGTAAAAAATTGGAAGTAATTGCTTTTAAAATAAATAAATTATCCCAATTCTTGCAACAGTCACATATTCGAAGATCATGAGAGGTTTAAGGTGTATGAGTCCCCTTAACCGATGCCTCGAGACAAGTTGAAAATGACATCAAAAATTGCAAATTTTGAAGTATATTAGCCGGAAGACCGCATTAAAGGTTAGATGCTTTTATTCGTCCAAAATTATTATTAGTCCAAAGGGCGTTAGCCTGGATGAGCTATTAATTTCGTTTGGCCTTTTGTGGTGTTTCACTATAAACGACGTTTCACTTTACGAATTGTTGCCACCAAATATTATCAAACCTGTATTATATTTAAAGAAATTAAATAATAAAAAATATGCATAAATGTATGCATATTTTTCGCATTATGATCAAACAATTATACCTAGAGCCATCCAGTTTTGAATAACGTACGTCTACAACCGACTATGGGCATCTGGAAGCTCAAATTTGGAACTTGGAATTTTTTTTTGTTATCTATTTCATATTTTGTAAAGCATTTATGGGTTTTTGTTTAAGAAACTCAAAGATTTCGAAGCGAGCAATGGCAACACTGGAAGGGAAAAAAAAAAAAATTTATCTCCAGCGTGTAAGAATCGGAAATTCTAAAGATATGCTCTTTTTTACTTTGTTGTGCGAAGTAAAAAAGGGAATATTGTAATCGCGACACATTTCGGGTATCATATTTCAAAGAAAATATCCATTTTGACCGCTATCGAATGCATTTAACGATGTTTTTGCGTGACATCTGTACGTAAGAACATAATAAAAGACTCTTTTCTTCCAAAAAAAATTATAAAACTGCTATAAAATGAATTCTGAAGAGAAATTTTCGTGATGTCTGTATGTACGTACACGTACGTACGTACGTATCTCGCATAACTCAAAAATGAGTAGCCTCAGAAATTATTTATTTTTATATCTTTATAGGTTAAAAATTTGTATATATGACTGCTATAACATGTAGATATGCACCTTGTATTTTGGTTGCAATCGGCCGCACAAACTTATATAAATATATTTATATATATATCCGCTCTGTTACCCGGCTCAGTGACAGTTTCTTTACTCTTATATGTTTGTAAATTATGCATTTTTTGCTTTAAAAGTAATTGAATTATGTTGTTCTTATCTTCCGTTAAGGTTTTTATGTCTTTAGGAAATCTGCAAGGAGTACTTGTAGAATTATCAACAATTTAAAAGCTGTTTAAGTGCGGTTAAGCCTAATTTTTAAATAACATGGCGGACATATTTGTTTATATTTGAAACAGCAGAATAGTAGATTTGTTGCCAATCTAGAGAGACTAAGTTTCGCAACAACAAATATAACGCCTTCATTTATTATTGCGAATTAAATCATGCTTAATCCTTTCTGGAATCTTTCGAGGAAAGTGTTTTAAGATTTAGATTTCGTAATTTTTATTATAGATGTTTGAGGTTTTATGTATTGTTGCCTTGTGCGAAGTGGAACTGAATAATTGAATGCGAAATACTGAATGTCTGCGAAAACGTTTTTTTTTTTTTTTTTTTTTTTTTTTTTTTTTTTTGGTTTGTTTGTTTTGCTGCTTAATCTTTGAACATGTTCTAGATTTATTAAGTATTCGAAAGAATATGCGGCACGAGTAGACAATTCTCAAATGCTACAAATTTTGGCTTTCTGTGTTGTAATACGAACGAAAATATAACGCTTGTGACGTGGTGTGGTAACAAAATATAGTGAATTTTAAAGAGCGTATTATTGATCTATTGTGGTTTATGCACTATCGACGAAATAAATTGAATTCAATCCAATAAGTTTAAATGAAATGCAAGAAAAAATGAGTATAATTTAATAATCCGTACAAGGAAGTCATGTGATCTACACATCAGATTTTTTTCATTGTACACGAGCGAAAAAAGAAGAGTAATCGTTCATAATTTCAAATAATTTTAACAAAGTTCGTAAACCACATTTGACGTTATTACCGCGTATAACAAATATGTCATATTTCAAAACACGCCAATGTGTAAATTAACGTGTGTATATCTTAGGAAATTTAGAATAAAAACATTTAATTTTTAACGTTATGCTTAGAAATACATCTATGTTAATAGATTGTAAAGCACTACACGAAGGCATGCGGAATGGAGGGAGAAAATACCTTATACTTTACTTTTTAAGCTAAAAAGTATCTATTAATAGTATTTTTTGTAAATTTATCCTATTTTATGTCCCGAGCAAAAATATACTTTTGCATTCTTTAGCTGCCTTTCTACATATATGTAGAAAGGCAGCTAAAGAATGCAAAAGTATATTTATGACATAAAGAATGCAAAAGTATATTTTTTTTATATACATATAGATGACTGTAGTTTCTTACAAAATTTTACTGTCTCATTTCATTTTTAAAGTAAACAACGTGTTATACACACAAAAAGTAGATTTAGAAATTTTGTGATGAACAAACTTTTTATCTTACTTTTTATCTTACTTTTTATCTACTCACACATTTTCCATTAAGCCCACCAGGAAAAGCCCACCAGCGATCGAGGGGTAAAGTCGCTTAACACTGGTAGTTCAGTCTGAGGTTCGAATCCTGCGAACGGGGTGGCTGCATGGGCGTTTCCGTGGTTTTCCCCATGTGTAAACGTGTATACGAGCCAGTTTCCCTTAGAAAGTCCTCCACGAAGGCATCCCTTCCTTTATGCAAATAGCCCTAGTGTGCTTTGCCATAATCACATAAAACAAACCAAGCACTGGAAACTAATCATAATTCTTTGCATCTTTCCAGTATAGCACAGGATATCCTCAGGAGGTCATATTTAAGTCGCAATATCTCAGGACATTATTAGGATATCCTGAGTATATTGATTCTAAGATGGCCTGAGGACATCTAACATCCTGAGGATGTCCTGCTTAAGTCGCTATGTCTCGGGATACGCTAAGATGCTCTAACGATGTTGATTCTCAAACGTCTTGAGGACTTCGTCAGCTTCACCTCCTGAGGATATTCATACTATATATTCCTGAGGACATTCGTTGTCAAACATTCTGAGGATATTTATTCTTACTTCTAGTAGTTTGGTTTTTCGAATTTGGAAATTTGAAAGTATGCACATTCTTTAATTTTTCCCACACGTTTTGCTTCTTTAAGAGTTTATTCTAAGCATTGTTCAATAAAAAATATGAATATCCAGCTTGTTAATTAATATCGAGTTAATTGATTGTTATTAATTATCCAGCTAATTACTTATTATCCATCAT